TAATATTACTTCCGAGACATATTTTTGGAGAGGGGGGTATCCTTAGCCCTCCTAAGCAGAATTTAAAGTCTGTGCTTATGAGTTATGCTTCATCCCTCATTTTTTTTATTTTGATCTTCCTATTTTATTGATTCGCCTTAGACGTAGAAACAAATTGATTCTAATCATAATGATCCGACCGACAGTTGGCTTTACTATACAGTGGCCACTGAAAGTCTTCATACATGGGCTGATAGGAGTTAAAAAAATCAACAAGAACAATTTTTTCCTTCAAATAATTTATAAAAAAAAGATTGCAATAATTATCAGATTTTTTTTATTATTTTTAGTAAATTTGGAATATTGGTTTTATCTGGTTTGGTTATTAAAATCCCTTAAATTTCTTTTTAATTAATGTAAATTTATAATTCCTCATTACTCTCTCGATAAAATGCATTAGCTATAATTGCTTTCCACCTTCAATATATTGCTCCACAATACTATCGGTATTAAATTTGTTCATAATATTAATTAATAATAATATTAAATTTCATCTGAATAAGTTACATTATTCCAGTAATTTAGTATTTTTTCTAATTCAAATATAAGTTATTTGGTGAAAGCTAACTTTTTTTCTTATTCATTAAATTTATGAGAGGTCTTTGTCTATTCGATCTGGCTTTAAATTCATATTGTTTTAATATTCTCCTAATCACACCAGGTCCAGCTTGTTTTTCTAATCGTTCACATTTATTCCTGGTGTCATCTTCATACCCTCAAGCCCAAGGGAATGGCTACGATGTAATTATCCAAATAAACATGAACTCCTCTTCAGAGTTGAATCTCATCGAACATTCATGGGATTATGTCGATTTAAAGTTCGAAAATCAAAATATAACGACAGTATAATATTATAAAACTACATTCTTAGAAGAATGAGAAAAATACCCTCCCAACTGACTTAAAAGTTGATCCAATCAATGGCTAAATGATATTCAAAAACAAAATCCTGAATTTAAAATATTAATATAAATATTTTCAGTAAAATAAATGATTGAATTACTCTCCTATACAGCTTGTACGAAAACTTTTGCTGCATTAAAATTTTTATCTTATACTTTCATTTGTAGTAAAAATACACGTATTGATTGTTAAGCAAATATTTTCGAGAAAATTGATAGTGGTATTGAGGTTATAATTAGATGTTTAAATTTAATATATATGAAGTGAAGAATGGTTGTTGTTTTCTTTTTTTATTTCCTATAAGTCCGTATATGAAAACTTTTGGTGGACACTGAAGTGTCTTGTATCTTCCATGGATTTTTGAAGATTTTATATCTTTCATACAGAGCCGTCGCGTGGGTTCCAGGCGACCGGTGAGAGATTTCTTCGGGCGCTCCCCTCCCCCAGCTCCATCGCAAACCATCTAATAGCCTATTAACTCATATTTAAATAGAGAAAGAGATATGAACGATTAAGTAGAGATACATTTTAAATCTGTACTAATGTAAATAATACATTTCTGGACTTTCAATCATTAAAAACTGATATTACAATAACTTTTAAAAATGACCTTTTACCAGCTTTAATCAATTTTGTTGTATTTAATTTTTAGTCACCAGAGCACAGGTATTTTCTACCAGGATTCAAACCTTTTTCATTACGTATCACCTCTCTAATGCCAGGTTCTAGAGCTAAATTAAATAGGACTGACATAAGGTAATCACTTGGTTATAAACCCGAACAAATCTCATACTTCTCGAAAACAGCGAGAAATTATAAGAAACGGTTAATAGAGTTGAAACACAAACACTTGGCATTAAACGAATCCCAAGTACTCATAATAAATATATATTTGCAATCAAGTGGAACTAAGCGAACGAAGTCATGGACAACTGTTCGTTTTCAAATAAAGCGAAGAGTTTGATAATCTATTGGTCTGTTAATTTATTACAACATAATCAGAAAACTGAAATTAGGAATCAGAGAAAGAAGCACGCGAGCGCAGTCAGCAGAAACCGGGGCTGGGGCAATATTAAAAATCTATATAATTATTATATTATAATAACACGTTTCATTGTATAGCACAGCACTATTTACAAAATTACTGATTATTCAAAAATGATTAATTAAGTAAAATGTTCATAATAACGTCCACTGAGTGTTATGAACACTTCTTTTTATTTACAACAATCTACAAAAATAGGGTAAAAACACCGATAGCTCTGATATCCTCTTTGAAAAAATGGAATAAGATTTCAGAATCTTGTACTGCTCCATTTCGTATATTGTTAGTTTCTGTAACTTTTTCTTGTATATTTGTATGCTTTGTTTTATTCATGCCGGAATCCGTAACTGAAATAATCCGTGGCAAATTAGGAAGGTCATTCACGGTCCACTTGAATGTCCAAGAACTTAACCCAATATCTATGAGTAAATAGACTATACCTTAGATTTTTCTTCTTCTCTTCAACTACTTCGATTTATTCCAATTCTTTTTATTTATTTTTCTTAGGATGTTTTTAGATTATGTTTGTTATTTTATTAAAGGAATTGGAAATTTAATGGTTGTCAGCCACTGGAGACATATATTGCTTTTGCTAGTATCCGGCAGGCCTGTATATACATTTAAACAAATATACTTGATGCAACGGGTCTTAAAAATTTGACTAACCACTCTTCTAGTTAAAGTAATAAAGTTCCTAGTGATATGGATTAAACTCAAAGAAAAAATAAATTTTCCTATTTTCAAAACCAGGTTCTTGACAATGTCCAATATTTACCGATAAATTAAAGTCAGAAAACGCAAGAAGTTATCATATATTATAGTTAAATTTAAAAACAGATGTGCCCAGAAGGGACACTTCTACTTTCGCTTGCACTGTTTTCAAGAAGAGTAGATCAATAAAATATCTTGGAAGGGGGAGAAGAGTTTCAGACGCCATTGAACAAAGGAGTGATAAGCACTCCACTCCAGCCTAAGAGTTTAAAGAAATTTGGTTTATCATGTTAGCTACCTAGTGCATTTATCCTATAATTTAATAAGTATGATCAACTTTAAAAATCTAAAATAATATAAATTAATTTATTTCCTATTCTTAATTTAGTTCCTAGGTTTGAATAGGTCTTCTATTTGGTATTTTATAGAAATTAAAGTGAAATGAAATTTACCAGTAGCTTTAAGCTAACTCAACTTATGTTCTTCACTTCACTTCTGGAACGTCTCTCTAACTCAGATTTATAGATTCACCACTTAAGTAACTAATTAATAAAAAAATTAGTCACTAGTTCACTTTTACAAAAATTACTTCTTACATTCAACACTCAGAATAGAATAAAGAATACTGAGAAAGGTTGTTGGGTGTTAACTGGTAAACAGAGTTGAATAATGATTATTCAAAAATAATTAATTAAATAAAATGATCATTATACTTAATTAATTTACCATTGATTAATTAATTAATAATACCATTAAAGCGAATTTATGATAGATTGAGGAAGAAATGTGTACAAATTTTTTTGTGTCATCGTGAACCAATACTATTCGCAGAAATACTCTTAATAGCTTACATCTTCTTTTTTCTTTGAACAATAAACAAAATAAATATTTTATGTTAGGCGACCGTGCTAGATTATGAAAAAAAAAAAAAAAAATGCGTGTTATTATTTACTTATCGTTCTTTGAACTTTTGGACTACATACATTTTCTTTACCAACTCTTATTTAAATCGGCTTCTCTGTTTTTAATTTTTAATTAATGTTTGTCCCCTATCCGTGGCGCCCCTTGCTTTCATAAACCAGAACGTGGTCTTACTAGTTTTTAACCTTTAGGAATACCTTAAGTGCACTTGTTTATGTCGTACTTATCTTTTTTATTATAGAAAATTGAGTGTATAAACATTTTTCCCGAACTCAGAATTTCAAAACATTGTTTTTTTGATTAGCACATTTTAGGTCTTCATTTTCATTTTATTTTAGAGTTCAACAGACAACGGAATCTTAAATATTTTTCAATTATTGGTATAATTTATTTTTAGCTAAAAAAGTTCTAGAAATCAAAAAAATCAATCTATGTTATACAACTTTTTTTTTTTAATGTTTGACGTATATTGAACTGTTTTATTAACACATTTTTATGTATATCCAAATACATAAACACGCAAAATAAAAAGTTTTAATAAATATATATATATATATATATATATATATATATATATATACATTTATTTAAAAATATACAATGTTATATTTATAGTTCGTTTTACAATTACTGTGTTTTTTCTAGTCCATCGCCTCCCAATCAAAACAAGAAGTCCGCGCCTAAGCTCTGAGCTACGTTGCTCTTAATTTTCATCAAAGATGGTTCATTGGTTTAGTGAACCGTTCTTCTAGGTAATAAGGAACATCGAAAATATCAAAAAAGTCGGTATTGTTTCGGGAGTAAATGGTCTCTTTAATTAAAAAATTGAACGTGTTCTCGAGAGAGAGATTATTTCTATTCTTCTTCTCTGGTCGTTCAAGAAGAGCAACAAATAAAATTGGACCCGTTTATAAACAAAATAAATTTTAAAAAACCTGTTGATATTTTTACAAAAAAATATTTCAATAAATTAAGTGCATTTTAAAGATGAAATGAATCATTACTAATAATAAAGAGGCAAAGTAAAGTATTATTGTTTCTTCTTTCCATTCACACACATTCAATATTTGGTGCATAGCCGACTTCATAGCCTATGCCTATTGACATTAAACTTCTATCTTATGTAGACAATTTGAATTCAGTTTTCTGATTATTAAAAAATGTAGCTTATCCTCTTTTCACTTGACCCTTAAATATTTTAACGTCAACAACGAATAACAATCCTGGTAATAATAATCAATATTTTAAGGAAAGATTTATGAAGTTCAGAAAAGGGGGTTCGGTTGGTACAAAAAAAGACTTAACCGAGTGGGGAGGTAGGCAGCCAATGAGCTGACAGCTGGAACGCGCCACTCTCGCTCCAAGAATCGGAAGGGAAGACAGTAAAGCCTGGCTGAGTGCGGTGTTCGTTTCGTTATTAGAAGGAGTATTGTTTAGTGATTAAACAACGATATTTGTCATAGGAATATCAAGGTACATTAAGCTATTACTTATTTTAATATAACTTCATATTGATTTAATAGTTTAATTAACCAAATTTAATTTTTAAAAGTAATAATGATTACGATTTAAAGTTACCTCTTAAATAAGAATGATGTTAAAATAATTAAATATAAATCAAGTTTTATTTTTTAATTAAATAAAATCATTGTTGTAGATTTATCATTCAGTTTATTTATAAAAACTAAATCGCAAATAAGCAACTGATATGAATCCCAATAACTGCAATAATTTGTGGTTGATAGTCAGGATGCAGTCATTTTTAAGGTTTATTGGTGCAACTTTCAATCCAATTATGTGGGTCATCATCAGGACTGAAAATTGTCTAATACAATCAGAGATATACTATTATAAGACAGATAACACTTAATAATGAAAAATAGTGATGAATGATACATGAAATAGACAAATGAAATATGTAATAATTTATACAAAATAAAAAAAAAATGTATATAATCAATTTATAAGAAATGTAATATTTAATCTTACTAACCGTGTTTCGAGCACTGAAGATGTTCATGTACTGATACTAGTTAGGTAAATAAGAGACTTGGACGAGGATTTTCCAGATGTTCTTTTAAGATAGCGAAGGTAGGCAAACAAAGTCAGAGAAGGGTAACATATTTGTTTGTGGATTGCTAATCATTTGATAAATAAATATATATTCATAAGTAAAATATTCAAAGTAAAATGAGTACAATCACTACGTTCTTTCTTATAGTTAAAAAATGATGACTATTAGCTTGTAATGAAATAAAAATTAATAAGATGTGACAGTCAATACAAACATAAAATAGTTTGGGTGGAGATATACAGTAGTTTGACAATTGATATTTACGTTACAGTAAATTGTAATAAATTGAAATAATTAGTACTGTAGAATAAAAATAGAAAAATCAATTTTATTGGTTGATTAGAAAAATTAAATTTATCCTGGGACAAAGTCTCTTAAGAATAACAATATTGTTAATAAAAAAACAACTATTACATGATGGATTACTTTGTACTAATAGTATAAGCATAAACGTATCTGTGCCTTGTTTTGGGTAATCTATATTAATTTTGATAAGGAATAGACCTTTATATATATATACATATAAATTAGGTATTTTCCTAATAAAAATAAATACAAATTACTATAAACAACACACAGGTTTATATATCTGTGTGTATATATATATATATATATATATATAATTATATATATATACACACACACCATATATATAAATGTCTATACATATATATATAAGGTCTATTCCTAACAAAAATTAACTGGGAAAAATGAAAAAAAAAAAATGTTTAAACTATAGTTTCAGGAGGCAGAAAATATTGGAATGTCTATTGCAGATCTTTTCTTTATCTATTCTGTGGTTTACCAGATTTTTTTTTCAAAATTAATAAATTAGCTTTCGGGCTGAAGCTCCTCCTCCCCAAAATGTTAAAATGTAACCATGTTTTATGGAAAAAAAAATATCTATTAAAGCATTATTATCCGTGTAATTTTATTTAATAGGACTTCAAGAATCCATTAAACACCATTTCATATAGTTAGTATCTTTCTTTTTTTCCAAAATAATTGTTGCTATATACACGAAAAAAAAAACTTTCGGGATGAAGTTCCTCCAAAATTAAATCCTGGATTTAGTGCTCTATATCATTTTACTTTTAGATATTATGAGAATATGATAGAATTGTGGATGTTTTATTTAAAGACCAATTCCACTCACAATAATTTACTAAAAACGTTTTGTCAACATTTATAAATAAACAGTAATTATGTATAGATGGATGCATATTTATGAGTGAGCAGATGCAATAATCAAGCATTATCTGAAATGTTTTTTATCATTTTCATAAATTGCGAAAATTCAACAGGCTTAAAAAATGTTATTAAAGAATATGAAAAATTACAAATTTAATGTAGAAATAAATTATTTCTATTAGCGTAGTGATGATAGTATTTTTTTTAAAAGACTGTTGTTATGTTAATGATTATTATAGGGCTAAATAATGAAGATGAGTATCAAACACGAGATTGAAGATGAGGAAATGTTTCTGGATATGGAGATGGAAAAATTTTCAGATCTCAGTTATATTGAAGGTTTCTTTTGGCCAAGTAAAAGTAAACCAGTTAATGAAAATAAACCAACCTCTTTGCCTTCTATTAAAACAATACTTCCGGCACATTCACAGGTACTTAGCTCTATTAATATATATATATATATATATATATATATACACACACAAACATGAATGCTATATAGACTGACATTGATGAATCCTATGAAGCTCAAATTCTTGATGGACTAATGTTTTACAGGGAAATAAAGATGAATCAGTTGGGCATCTTTCATGTCGTGATTATTTGGAGAATTTGGATTATGAAGACAGCAATTCAGAAACCTTTGAGAATCAGGTATGGAATTTTTAAAAATAATAATAGGTTAATGTTTGCTGACATTCATTATAAAATGAATGTTTGTTTAAATACAAGTTCTACTAAGCCTCTGATGAATAATTTTTTAATAACTTTCGAAATCTATTAGAACTTTGATGTTTAATAACTCCATCAAAAGTCCAGCCGCATTTCAAATATTTCTCATTATAATAAGGAAATTTAGATAGAAGAGAAGTTGAATTTTTAAATCAGATTATATTTTACATCAATAGTTCCAAATCTTTTTGATTTTTATTCAAGTCTACATGTCTAGAATTTCTTACTTTAATAATCATATTCATATTGCAGATTGTCTTAACACAAAATGAGGCAATTCAAATGGAGCAACTGGAATTCTATGAAGAAGAATTGGAAATTGAAGATAATCCAGAATATGTTTCAAACAAAGGTACTTACTTAATTTTTGAGAATGATGCAATCTAAGCTAAACAGAACCGTCCTATGGGTAGGGCAACCATGGCAGTTGCTCCAGGAACTGAGCTGTCACCACGTATCGAGAACAAAAATAAGATGTGTTTATTTAGATCTTCATAAACAATGATTTGAAATTATTAGGTTTAACTAGTAAAAATGAAAAAACATGGTTCCCCAATTAGGAAGTGTATATGGAGGTGCTAGTTTAAATAGACCCAAGATTTTAAACACTGCAGTGAGTTTTTGAAAATAACTAAAATTTTATTTATTCACAATAAGCCAGGTCACTTATGATAACATAAGATGATTTATCTAAAAGACTTGAAGGATTACAAAACAGTATTTTTTTATCATTAAAATCACTTAATTTATAATTTATTGTTCCCTATTTCAAAATTCAAAGCAAGAAAATTAGGAATAAAAAAGATTTTTTTAAAAATCATATTTTATGTTTCGGGCAAATTATCGATTATTTCCAAAAAAATTTAAATAATAATTATTCAAAGTTTTATAATATGAACATTTTTTTTTTTTTTATTCTCCCCTACCTCACCGTTAAGACTATACGGGATTTCCCTGGGCCGGAGTGTGAGGGCGGAGAATTTTAAAATTCCCTCCGACACCGGGACGCGAACTCATACTTAATTTTGTCTCTCAAACTTCATATATCTGGTTGCCGGGCAACTCTCGGTGCTGTGCAAACGCTTTAGCCCATTCGCCCACCCTGCCCCCTAATATGAACATTTAACAATTACAAAACCTTTAAGCAACTTATACATCATGGGTAGATTTAAGGGAAGGCATGGGAAAGTTTAGCACTCTCTTCTCCTCCCTCCCCCCCCCCAACTATGGCATAACATAAAAACATGACAATAACAACAAGAGGTATTTGATATGATAATCGATCTAAAATTTGAACAAGAAACAATATTATGGTACTTATTGAACATGAAACACTAAAAGTTACTTGAAAATTCAGTTTTCGTATTGATTGTTTGATCCTGGAACGTCTGCCTTCCCCCCACGGTTTACTTTTAGCTCTGCCCATTTCATAAAAAAAAAAAAATATTATCATTGACTTTATATAATTAATGAATATTCAATTTATTACATAGGGTTGACAGCTATGTCCAAAATAATCTCTAATGAGGATTGTTATCTAAGTATATCGTTGGTAAAAAAAGTATTTTATTTTTGTTTTAATTTTATAAACAACAAATAATTGTTAATATTTTCTGTTCAATAGTGTATTACATAGGTGAGTAACCTGTGGTCTATTTCAGCTAGCTGCGATTTTGTGTAATATTTATTAATATATCGCAAAAAATACTTAATATTTAATTATTTAGCTTATGAAAATTAATAAAAGTAAATTGAATATATGTATTTGTATTAAGTGATTAATTAAAGTAGCAACAGTAAAATATGAAAAATAAAATATCATGGCCTCCATTACCACTGCCTCCATTACCACTGCCTTGCCTCACTGTGGCCTCCAATGCTAAAAAGCCCTAGCATATAAAACCTTAAATATGTAATTTCACTTTCGCACGACTTTTCGTTTTTGAGCTAGACTGTTAACACAGACCATTTTGCGGGACTTGGTTATTTGGACTGAGGGAACCTCAAAACGTGTATTTCCATTGAAAACTGAGATTTGAAAATTTTCACAATCGCAATACTTTCCTTTAATATATATTTTATATATAGGTAAGTGAAAGTAAAAAATAATACGTGTATTATATGTAACTACTGGTTTCGCTTATATTATTTTTAATAACTGTGCCCAGATTATACTTGTTTCTAAAAAGGGAACTTTTTCACCGAAGTGGAAAACCTGTATGCATCGCGAATTAAAATTAATTTGGAATAGATAATGAGTTTTATCTGAAAAGACCTAGTTACCAAAACTATAATTTATTTTGAGTGCAAAATATTATTAGGTAATAAACTACAAATTAACAATTTATATTATGTCCTTTAAGGACGGAGAGAAATAAATAATTTCTAAAAATGTTTTAAGGTGAAGAATTACTAGAATGCCGGTGGGAAGATTGCTGGAGTCTTTTTCATAGTCAGAAAGCTCTTGTTGCTCACATTGAAGGAACTCATGTTGAACCACAGCGTGGAGGTGATGATTTTCCCTGCTTATGGGCATCTTGCCCAAGAGCTTCCAGACCATTTAACGCACGGTACAAGCTACTTATTCACATGAGAGTGCATTCTGGAGAGAAACCGAACAAATGTCAGGTAAATTTCCAATGTTCTGGTAACCAAATGTTCTGTTTTAGATGTTTAGAAATGTTCAATTTTATTAATGTACAAGAAAAAAAAATAGTGAACAATTTTTCTGTTGTAAATAAAAAAGTTGTCTAAGTTCCTTCAACGCTGACTACAGAGCAGTAAGTCATGGAACAACAGGAACAGTTCCTGCAGACACACTAGGTATTACAGTTGGTCCGAAGTGTTGGCTGTTATTGTAAAAGAAACATGAGTAACTAATAAAATTTTAATCTAATAAAATAAAAAAATAACACTTTATTTTATATATTAGAAATTTAGAGTATCACACAACCATAGAAATGATTACTTGACAAGTAGTTTCTTGTTTTAGTAAGTTTAATGAGTGAATCATAGATATGAAACCATAAATGACTGTATTTTTTTTTAAGGGATAATAATTATAACAGATACAGGATATAATTCATTTTAATCTCTTTGGAAAATTATCAATGGTCACATTATTTCCTGACCATTAGATAAAGATTATTTTGAATCAATTACTCTACAATAATTGGTTTCTATAGTTTGTAGGGTTAAAACATACTGGTAATGAGTCTAATGAGCAAATGTAAGTTAGTATAGCTGCACAAATATATATTGGGTAGTCCAGAAAATAATGCAGGATTTTGAATTTTCTTTAAAATACCCCTCTATATAACAAACTGTTTACATTTACTGGGTTATTCATTTGTACGAATGTCACACTTATTAATCCTCTTTCAAACAATAATGTTTGTTTACCTCTGTAGTATTTTCCTGCTAAGAAATAATTCAGTCTACTAAGACGCTAACCCGTGGTTTTCATACAATTTTGTTTTACGAGTTTAAACTTGGCTGAAATGGGACCCAGACAGCTAGAAACATCACTTGAGTCTGGGGCGAGGGCAGCATTAATGAGTGCACTGTTCAATGGTGGTTCAAAAAATTTCAGGAGGAAGACTTCAGCCTTGAAGACAAAGAAGTTCATGGAAGGACTTTCTCCTCTCTTAATGATGATGTTCTTCGGACTTCGGTGGAAGAAAATTGTTAGAGAACTAGCAGGGAAAACTTTACCTTAGCAAATCGATGGTTGATGACCACCTCAAGGCAATTGGAAAGGTAAAAAAGCATGAAAGTTGGGTTCTACACACATTAAACGACGGCCAAAAAAAAAACAGCGTAATGAAGTTTGTGCTACACTTCTTAGAAAAACAAAACCGATCCTTTTCTGTTGAGACTTGTGATGAAAAGTGGATACTTTACGATAACAGTAGATGTTCTGAACAGTGGTTCGATAAAGGAGAAGCAGCAGAACATTTTCCAAAGCCCCAACTCATCAAAAAAAGGTGATGGTTACTGTTTGGTGGGCTTCATTTGGTTTCATTCAGCCCGGCCACATGTCTCACGTGTGACATCACAAAATCTGTTGGAACTTAGATATGAAACTCTGCCACATCCGCCCTATTCTCCGAACCTCTTGCCTACGGATTATCATTTTTGTAGACCCCTGGATCACTATTTACATGAGAAAACATTTAATGGACAAAGGAAATTATAAAATTTGTTTTTGGGTTTATCAATTCAAAAGATGGGAAATTCTATTCTGAGGAAATTGAAAAGTTGCCAACATGTTAGCAGAAATGTATTGATAGTAATGGAGACTATTTTGATTAAATAAAACAGTTGTAAATCATTCTTTTTAAACTAAAATCCTGAATTATTTTCTGGACAACCCAATATCTTCCAATTCTATTACAATTCTTTAATTTCTATAATGTTTAACCACAAAGTTAAAGAAGAAATAAGTGAAAGTAAAAATGGATCATTATTTACTGAGAAAATAATCTATATTTTCTGAGATTAAGACATGAAAAATAACTTAGAAATATGATTTACATTTTAAGAGTGCAATATAAAAATATTAGATGAAGTGAGGTCATGTTTAAAGACTTGATTGGAACAGCTCATCTTCCCATTATAAGTTATAGTTAACTTCAATTTATTAATGTTTATGATAATAATTTGATACAATAATCCATTTACAAAACTATCATATTGAAAGCTTGCCTCTAAAACCTAGTAAGGCCATTAAAGAAACTACACAACAAAATAAGAAGATAAATTAGAGAAAAATTAAAAGTTTGATTATTTTTTGCTTGTTTTGTTCAGAAAAAGAACAATTGTTGAAAACATAACACCATGCATTATAATTATTAAAATAAATGAGTGAGTATTAAGTATTTACAGGATTTTCGAATTTCAATGAATTGGACCTACTAGATGTTATAATTAAGCCATCGAAATGATGTTAATATATATTTTTAAATAATTAAATTATTTCAGTTTGCTGGCTGTATGAAAGCATTTTCTCGTCTAGAAAATCTAAAAATTCATCAAAGATCACACACTGGAGAGAGGCCTTATTTATGCCAATTTCCATCATGCCACAAAGCTTTCAGTAACAGTTCAGACCGTGCTAAACACCAGAGGACACATTATGATACAGTAAGTTAACATCAAAGCGATCAATGACTTAGCTAATTACAATAATTAGGACTAATATAATTAAACAATTTTTTGAAATTTCAGAAACCATATGCTTGCCAGATAGATGGGTGCCGCAAACGTTATACTGATCCTAGTTCATTAAGAAAACATATAAAAAATCACAGTGGGGTGTTAATGTCGCTCAAGCCGAAAAAATTGGTATGTGAATAACTAAACTAATATAAAAAATTCACTTGATTCCTGTATTAACTAGCTAACTTGTAAGTTTTATGCTGAGATTAGGTTTCTTTAACTCAATTGTTTTTATATTGTTACTATGGGCTTAATTTATTTTTCTTTTGGAGTATGGACTCTGTCAATACTAGGTTACAATACTTTAGTTGTGCATGCTGTAAATAACTGTATTTTTTTAGTTTTGTTGCATCTAATTTAATTTATTTACTTTTCTTGAGAATATTTATAGTACTGGTTACGTGCAATTTGCTGTAAATGAGTAAGGAATTGGCTGGCATTGCCAGGCAACTGATCGATAATCTACCTATTGTAATCAGCTGTGACTAATAAGCGACACATCACTACATTTCAGAACAGTAGTGACTGTTAATTTAATTCAAAACATCCCTTTATAACTAAATTTTTGTTCAGGTGTTGATTATGAATAGGGAAAGGACAAATTTCAGAATACAAAAATGAATGTAGATATCTAGCAGTATTGAAAAAAAATAAAAATAATGATGCAATCTCTTTTCTCATACCCTAAACCAATAAACATCATCACTTCACCTTATCTGATATCATAAAGAACGCAATATAGATCATTCATGATTTTTTTCATAATTTAACAAGCATGTTAAATGAATAAAAAAATGTCTTGATCAACAAATACTTTTTTTCAAATTTCACCAACGTAATAAATAATAAAGTTAATTAGAATAAGCAGCAGCTATTATAATAGTAAAGTATAAGAAATATATGCAGAAAACTCTCATAACTAAGAGAAACACTAAAAGATTGATTTTACAGATCATCTAATTAGCTATCATAAATTTTCAACATAACATTTGATATTTAAATTACTTTGAATTTCAGATTGCAAGTGAGCCAATAGTTTCAGCAGCAGAACTCCAGTCAAGATGCTCTAGAGGAAATTCTGGTATGAAACATTCCATTAATTATATTCCTTCTAAAATAAATTAAAGTGTTTTATTTAAAATTTTTAGGAAACTATTTTATGTTTTGAGAGAATCGAGGCAATAAAAGTTCCTTCATCTAATTGTTTATTTGCTACAATTTGGGGCATTATTTCCCAAAATAATCTTCAGAATTAAAATTCTGAAACTGATAATCATCTTAGCATAAAAATTGATAAGGCAAATACATTTATACTTTTAACAATGTTTCAATATGGGTTTGCTAGAATATAACCAAAAAAATGTATCATGTGATAACTTTTGTAAGAATTGTAATTTTGAAGACAGGGATTCATGTCCCAAAATGGTGACAATAAATCAATATGATAGCTTTCAGCCAATAAACATGAAATAACTTTTATTGCCTCAATTATCTTTCAAATCAATATTAAAGGAGATATTTATATTTAATGTATCTTTAAAACTAAATGGATGAGTACAGAATCATATTACAATCTATGATGTAATTAATCTTTGAAATTTAAAGGTGGATCGATCCAAAACTTTTTTTAAATATAGCTATTGCCAGTAATGGTCAAGAAGATTAATTAAAGTTTTCATACATATGTCCCTAGATTCTTGTATTTTTACTATTGATGTATGCAGGGAAGGGGGGCAATGCTCCCTATGTATATATTGTGTTTCACACAACAATATTCATAAATTGTAATACTTGGTATAATATTATAAAATTTGAAATCATTTGTCTATCTGAGATTCTCCTAATATGGAAGCTATGTATGCCCTTTATTTTAACAGTAATTTATCTTATGCACGGTTTATGTTGTATGATTTTTCAAAAGATTTATTCCATTTTCCAGAATCGAGCGATACTCTTAACAATGAATCTTCAATTTTATTTCTTGAGGGTGAAGAACAAAGATTTTTTGGTAAGTATGGTTTAATAAATAAATACTAAACCAATAGGTTTCTGTAGCCGATAAATATATGGAATCAAGTGGGGTGGGGGTTGATGAGTGAGATAATGCATTTACAATAGATATTTTACTATAACCAATAAACAGAACTCAGTCTAGTCTTGAATGAGCCCCTGCTTTCCACTGATAATTTCTGTATCAATGACTTATTACAATTATGGACTGAATTGGATGTGGTCGACCCGCCAATTCACTTCAGAATTTTGATGCAAATCTTCAGCATGTCAATCTAGATGGTCTGACAATACATTACATCAAAACCACTTTTTCATTACCTTTAACAAACCAAGGTTTTATACCAAATTGCTAAGGGTCTCTTGCTTATTTAAAGTCAGGTAGTATTCACTTATTTATTATAAATATTAAGGGATACCATACCAGGTAAAGACATCACTGTTATATAGAATTACACTTCCTCGTATCTCTATCAAGATAATATGAAAATTAAATCCTATTAATTAATGCAATATTGTAAGCCTCTGCAATCACTTTATAAATATAACTAACATTAAATATGGTTTCTACTCTTATATTGATGGACTATCATTTATTTAAATCATAAGAAATTATTAAACAAAATTTAAATTTAAAGAATGAAAGAAAATTATAAACACTTCTAAGTGGGCACCAAGGAAAAATAAGTGAACTCCTGGAATTGAATAGCTTCCTATGAAAAACAGCGGCTGTGATATCACCTATTGTTTATGCATTTAATTAGTTGTTTTTTTTTTCGTGTGCCAATTTCTACCTCTACTATTACTCAGGCATACACTGTATCAAAGAAATATAATTTTTAGCAAGATGAAAATCATGATATTATTATTGTAGTTACAAAATTGTACAAAATATTAAGATTACCACTTTATAGGTAATAATTTAGGCTTCATAAATGAAATAATTTATTATAAAATCATCTATTTTGCCATATTCAGGGATACAGTATAAATTTAAAACACTTTGGCAATGTTGATTTGTATATAGCGGTGCCCAACCTTGCACTCTTAGTCCAGTATAACCAGAATAATAGACCACACCTATATTGTATATATACACTTATTTTTTCGAGCTCCACCAATTTTGCCAACCGTCGTTGCAGAGTTGAGGTTTTCTAACAGATCTTGGATCATAGATCTCTCTCTTGTTCAAACTCTCTTTTCCAATCCATTTCCCTACTTACAAATGCTTCTTTTATCCCTTCTTCTCCTTGGCTTTCCTCTCAATCTACAACCATCCACTTGTGTCTCTGTCTATTTTAATTTCATCGATTCTAATGACATATACTGACCATTATTCGAGCAGGTTTTACATTACGGTTTGTTCTTATTGTAGTATTCCTGATTCAATCTCACCTTGTTTTTAATTCTCCGAAGGAATCTCATCTCAGAACTCTGTAGTGGACTCCTGTGTTTTGTCATAAGTGTCAAAGATTCACTGGCATTTGCTAGTATTGGGATGAAATTATTTTTGTATATAGCCACCTTTTCCCCTATTGACGATACCCCCTTTAACAGCATTGACAAATTTTCCAATATTACACTGAAGATCCCTCCTATCTTTCCCAAAAATAGTACCAGGTCATTGGCATAAGCCATGAACTTATAACTCATGAGGCTTAGATTTTGGTAGCTGAGCTGAAAACCTCTCATTTTAGGCTTTCTTCAGAGGTGAGTACAGAAGAACAGAAGAGAGCTGAGACAACATCCTTGTTGTATCCCGCTGAGTTTCGAATTCTGCAGAGGTACAATTAGATATTCTCACTACATTCCTATTTCTGTTATAAAGGCTTTCTGTAGCCATTCTTAGTCCCATGTCCACTCCTAGCTCCTCCAGAGCCTTAGCTAAATCTCCCTTTCTTGCTTGATCAAAGGCTTTTGTCAAATAAACAAAACAACTCATTTTCTTTCTCTTCTCGAACAGTTTTTTGGATATTCGCCTCATAGAGAAGACAAGGTCCTGGGTACTTCTGTGGTAGTGGAAACCATATAGCTCTTCATCTAAGCTATTGTTGACCTTATTCTCAGTCTTCAGGATCCGTGCACATGAGACACTTAGTAGAGAAATTCCCCTATGATATTCATACTTCCTATTATCCCCTTACTTATATATCAGAACAACTGATACAAGTGAAAACTTCCCATTCTTTTGGTATCCTTTTTTCCCTTGAAATTGGGTTGATAAGATAGAGAGGAACTTTCCTTCCATGTATCTGAGCATTTCAGGTGATATACCATCTTTGCCTACTGTTTTTCTCAACTTCATCCAACTTTTCTTCATCTGTAAAATCCTACTCCTCCCCGATTCCCTGCTGTTCTTGGAATTATTCTTTCCACCAGTAAATTATATCTTTGGTTTTATTCAAGTTTTCCGTTTCTGTCCTTGATGAATTTTAGGACTGGCTATCTTTCCTTCCAGATGGATTTTATCACTCTAGAAGTTTTTGGTTTTCTTTGAAATTAACCTTTAATTTATTTCCAAATTCCTCCCATGTCTTCCTCTTTGGCAGAATACAAATCATAAGCCACTGTTTTTTTTTTCTGTGACCATTATGGGGTCCTCCTTGTATGACCGTCTATTCCTCCTTATCCACACATGCTGTCTGCAATAGAGAGAACAATCTTGCTGAATGCAGACCTGTAATCTTCGATGTCCGATTCCCATAGAGCTTCTGTCTCTTTCACTAACTTTTCAAGCTCTTCCTCTTATTATTTTTTAATTTCCTATTCTTTCAATTTAAAAGATTTGATCCTCTTTTTCTTTTCTATTTTTGGAGAAGCCCCTGTTTTGATCTTAATTTGGTCTGTCCACATCTTGTCCGTAATTAGTAGATGGTGGTCACTACCTATTTCATAGCTTCTTTTCTTTTATCTCTTAGTTCCTGTATCATATTTCTTGGGATCATGAAATAATCCAATCATGGACTTCTCGCCTCTGCCTGACTCAGCTCTAGTATAATTTTGTGTAGTTTCAGTGTGCGTCACAAGGATGTTATTTAGGCCCAAGTTTAAATTTCTATGCTATGTATAATACGTTATAAGAATGATACATTTATCATGTTTTTGGACTGGTATGGGTTAATTATTTCTGTTTTAATTTTCACCTCCATTTTTACTTTTATATATCATTTATAAAAAAAGAGAATAGTTAAAGAAAAAAAATAGTGACCGTTGACGAGGGCAGAAAAACTGGTTTCAGAGATCTCTAAATTATGAATATCTAACAAGGTCTAGTGGCAGGAATAAGTTTTAAAACTTTTCTAGATTGTTCAACCAGTTCACTGATGTTAACTGGAATAGCCAGAAAAATTGAAAGGTAGAAACATGAATGTTACTATTAAGAACGACAATTAACTATTTCATTCTCATCATATACAGTTGTCAGATGACAGAAAAAGAATATATAATAAAACAAAATTAATACATACCAACTTAGATAACTGTATAATTACTCAAATCAGGATTTTTGATGGGATTTAGTAGAAATAATTGTAACCATTTGATTTTAGATGGAGATGACTCGCTTACAGATCAGCTTGATTCTGATGTAGAAAGGGAATTCTTAGATGTAAATGATCTTGATTCTTCATCATTTTTAACGATCAAAGAAGAGGATATAATTCGCACATTTTCATAGTGAAAAAATGAAAATATGAATAAATATTTCCTATTATTAAAACAAAAGGGAAAGGCAAATAATCTAACAATTTTATGAGATTAAAATTTTTCTTTTATAAAACTTAAGGAAATAAAACTAATTTAAGTATAAAATATGTAAATATTCGTTTTTATTAAATTATTTTAATAAAGCAAATAAGATTACGATTACTTAGCAGGAATTGTAATGCCATATTTAAAATTTAATAGAACAGAATTATTTGAAGAAATAATCAAACAACACAAAATGTTATGTTACATAGATGGGCATGATCATGATCAATTATTACAGTTACAGCAATTTTTATTACGTGATGAAAAGTACAGAATTTTTGTTTATGTGATTACGATCATAATCAGGTTTCTGATTACGATTGTAATCAGGTGATTGTCACATTTCCACTATATTGATAGCGCTATTGTACCAAGTATAAAATTGGAACGGTTATTAAGTTTTATTTTCAGTTGTTATCATTGATTCCGATTAAGCCCATCTATAATATTCAAATTATAAAGAAAATAATATAAGAACAGGAATAGTTAACTAAAAGATATAAAATGTGTAATACATAATAAAACTTGAAGTTTGTATATAGATGTGTTGAAAACATCAATGTTTAAATTAATACATAAAATTATATGTATATATTCATCCATATATGTATAATGTATAGGTTCAGTTTATACAAACAAATATTTCTATTAATGTTGCATAAATATTAAAAATTACTGTGGAGTGTGATAGATTGATCTTTTGTATATTCTTTTGGTAAAATTAATTTTATAAAAAAACTGTGATAATTAAATAATGATCTCAAGGAATGATTGAAAGACATATTGTAAATAAATTAGAACTAAGATAAATAGATATATTTATGTACAATCACAGATGTAGTTTTAAAGTAGTAATAAATAAAAAGTCTATACAGCATTTTCTATTATACTATGATACATAGAACATAATTCTTCATGACAAGCTTCAATGATTTCATCATTATCTCTTCTCTTTTGTCTATATTCAAGCCTTTTTTCCTGAATATCATTAACTGCATCACGAAGAGTATTAACATCCCCTGGAAGAGCACAAATCTTGCCGTCATTACTATTTGTTACAATAGATTCTGCCTTAGGAATATATTGGCATAATCTCTCTATTTCACCCTCAATCCCTTCAACTGCTTCTTTTAAGGCAGAAATACCTTTTTGCATTGAGGAGTTCATCCTAATATAAAAAGCATAAATTGATTGCATTAAGATAAACATTTAATAACAATAACATTTTATAATATTATTAACATAAACTATGTTAATGAGAAGAAACAGTAATAAAAATGACATTTTGTTAAAAAACATATTGTGAATCTTCTCTCAATAAAGGACAAATTTATAAACCCTATAAAATTTTAAATAATTTTATAGCATTAAGGACTTCCGAATAACTGGTGCTCTCTCTAATATACATAGACAAGCCTTGTTGCAAGAATTAAGATAGAAAAGTTTCTCCATAAGGGATACAAGCAGACCAGTGTGATCATATGTTGGGAAATTTAATTCTACTTACAATAACTTGGTTCATATATGTTTACTAGGAATTCAATTTAGTAATAAGGATTACGCATTTAATTTTTCATTGTTAATTCTCCGACAGAATTGATTGGAAATGACAACTTGCCTATTTTACTTTAAAAGAAAAAATGTGGTTAGTTAAGTGTACATGAAAAACTCAGTATTTGTGAATTGATTCAATTAGTATTCCTGCTTGATTCAATATTGGAAAAAAAAAATAAGTGAGTTAAGAAAATATAAAACAATACAAATCCGTACGACATTTAAGAGAAAAAAAAAAACTAAAACTTCAAGCCTTGCTACATATATGTAATATGATCCTCTATCTCAGCCCCTGATCGAAAAATAGGCTTTGAAACACACAGAATTTGGGCCAGAAAGGTTTTAAGATGTCAAATGGACGGGGTGCTAATTTAAAATAAATATGAAATATTTCTAACAAACCAATATATATGGAGAGCCTGTTGATTATTTTCTTGTTTCAAAGGAACATGCTAAATGAGGGTACCATGGTTAGCAATGATTTTATCTCTGGATGTTAATGTAAAAAAAAAAAATGGTAATGTAGCACAAAGCTCAAACAGAAATTAATATTGTAAAATAAGTCCTTTCAACTTAAGCTTATTGTAAGAAATTTGAATTTTTAACACTGTTTTTTGTATAGAAGTTTACGATAAATTTATGTATTTTTATCATTGCTCAGTGTAATTATTATAAAAAATGTGCCTCTGCTCAGCCCCCAATGGTCCTTAATACCAGTAAAGATATTAAGCAACGAAGTGAAAGACACTGGGATCTTGAGTGAATGAATTTTGTAAATATTGTATAAAAGCATATGTGTATTTAAGTAGTTATTTTGATTAGTTTAGTTTCTTTTAGTTATATACATTTACTTTTAGTATTATTATTTTGCTGTTTATTTATTTTTATCTATTGTATACAGAGTGTAAATGAACTATTCTTCTATCACTATTGCTATTGTCCTTAGATTTGACAGATCGTAAATGAAGTTAAGGATTTGTTAAGGAATAACCTAATTTAAAAAAATTACAATTTTTTGTTTTAGAAATCTATAATTGATTAAAATTATTTAACCTTCTTACCTTCGAATTTCGGTATCTGCAATTAAATAAAAACACTAGACCTTTGTTAGGAAAAATAAATAAAAACCTTGATAAGCTTTAACATTGTGTCCACACACCACTATCAAAATGTAAATTCACTTTAAGTAATTTCCCGCCAACTTTTCCATAGAGGTTTCTCGAAACGATCGTGGTTTAGCTCCATGGAAAAACAAACAAGTACCATCAAAGAACTTATTTTTGAAATTATAACATATAAAGTTTATTTCAAATAAAGATAAAAATACTCATGGACTTATCCGGAGCAGTGGTGGATCTAAATGTATTATCAGGATGACCAAAGAATATATCCTATCTAAAAAAATATACCATATCTATGAGAGAAATGAATCATCCTAATAATAATTATTTACATTAATCACACCTACAGGTATTAGTAAGCATATTTTAAATTTTATGTATATTTTTTTCTCAGTAGTTATTTTGGGAGAAGAATATATATCCCATTTTCCCTCTCCCGTTGATCCGTCATTAAACTGAGCGATAGGTTACTTGTTATTCCTTCAACATTCTGAAAGTAATTAATTAAGATATAGAGACTAATTCCCAAACCTATGAATTCATAATAACACTTTTGAAAACTACTGCCCTTCCTAGCGTCGGATCCACAGGAAAAGAAAAAAGGAAAATTTCCCACCACACAGTAATTATTTAGAAAAAATAATGTAAAAATTCGGTCCTTATAAACATACCTACAGTACCACTGTGTTCGTGAATACATCATTATTCATTAATAAGGAGGTCATCTACAATACTACAATTTCTCTCGGATAAAATAATATTTCTCCCGAATTCGTAGGTCACTCTGTTAGTTCATTTTCATAAACCTACCTCTGAATCCACCCTTTACTCTTTCCTTCAAAGCCCTCGGTTATTCACACCGCAGCGCACAAAAATGTTCTTAATTTCTCCTCTCTCTTAATTTCTGTGGTCAGTTAGAAAATGTTGTGAAACAATCTCTTAAACATGATATAAAATCAGTTATACGTGACTTCAATGCGAAGGTAGAGCGAGAACCCTTATTTAGGCCCATTGGATTTTTTTCCCGTAGGCCGAGGAATTCACGAAAAAAGGAATATCAATGGAATGAGATGTATTAGCCTTGCAGCAGCTAAAGCCGTTCGGCGCCTCCCCCCCCCTGGAAGATGAAAAAAAATTCAAAAAATTATAAAAGAACTTATTTAAAGAAAAAAGGATAAGGCAGTGGATCAGCTGATTGGATGGTTGTGCTCTCAACTGGTCTCTCAGTATTGGCCTATTTTTAAGTGGAATCTCTCTGATTTTTTCATTGAATACATTTCACGTGTACACCAGAGCAGTTGATACTGCTGATATGTTTTTATTTATTTTTTTATAATTTTTTTTTCCTTTTCTTATTTCTTTCTTTCTTCTCCTATGGTATGCGGTATACTCACCAAGTGATGTCCAGTAAGGTGCCCAAGAGGACTCGGTCGGACGGAGTTAGCTCACCAGCCAAACAAAGGACTCGTCGCTGCCTACGAGAAACATCTCCAACAACAAAAGTGAACTTCAGAACCAGAACCTCAGCCAATACCAGGAATTTCTTCTCAAGAAATGATCGAAGAATCCCCTTTCTTTACTCTAAACCCCTACCAAGTGCTTCAAAATGACCGAGAAGTAATGGAGTCTGCAGCAATACCCACAGAACCAAGGCCTCCTCCGATATTTGTGAAAAATATAAAAAATTTCCAATTGTTCTGCACCCAACTAAATAAAATCTGCCCTGGCAGTTATTCATGTCTTAAGAGGACCAACGATACAAAAATAACACCAGATACTGCTGAAATCTACCGAATAATAGTGAAGTACCTCTCAGAAACGAATGCGAATTTTCATACGTACCAGCTTAGGCAGGAGAGATCGTTACGAGTAGTAATAAGAAACTTACACTTCTAAACCCCAACTTAGGTGATAAAAGATGAATTAGCGGCGCCTGGTTTCAAAGTACGTCAGGTAACCAACGTTATGAAGGAGAATAAGGAGCAGCCTGGAGTAAAAAATAAAGTTCCACTACCTTTATTTTTCGTGGATCTGGAGCCATCACCCGGTATTGAGAAAATATACCATATAACAAGATTATATTACACAATGGTGAAAGTAGAGAAACCATACCCTAAGAGAGAAATCGTGCAGTGCGATAATTGTCAGGCGTATGGCCACACGAAGACTTACTATCACCAACTGCCGCGTTGCGTGAAATGTGGCGAACAGCACAAATCTGTAGAGTGCACCAAACCTATACAAGATCCTGCAGTGTGTGCACTATGCTTGGAGGGACACTCGGCCAACTACAAAGGATGCCAAATTTACAAGAATCTCAAATCCAGACACCAGAAAAACCGGATTCAAGATGAAGCAGGAAGACCAAGAAGAGAGAGAGAACCTTCTAGAATAGTAAACAACAGTTTATAATTTTCCCAGCTACTTAGAGGTAAGACTTCAACCGATAATTGTCAAGCCCTGCTGCAACAACAACCTCAACCCCAACCTCAAAATCCTATTGATTCAAATAAACCTAACCATCAACAACAAATTCATCATATCCCTCCTCCTTCTAATGCAACAGATCTCACCAGCTTGCTGGCATCATTCCTTACCGATTTTAAATCCTTAGTTACTCCACTCATATCACTCTCGTATCTCACCTCATCCCTCCTTAAAAAAATCCTTAATGACTCACATTCCAAAACCCATATCAATTCTCCTTTGGAATGCGAATGTTGTTAGAAATCACGTTGACGAATTAACAGCTTTGTTACTGGACAAGAACATCGACGTAGCACTAATTACGGAAACACGACTGACCAGAAAACAGCATTTAAAAATACCTCAATACATAACATACCGTACTGACCATCCTGACGGTAAAGCACACGCCGGTACTGCTGTTATTGTACACCACTCCCTTTCTCATCACCAGCTCCCATTGCCGACACAAGATTTCCTACAATCCACCGCTATCGTAATCAAAAACTTCTCCTTCCCCGTCACCATAGCATCAGCATATTGCCCTCCTAACAGATCCATATCCAACATCCAGTTCAGTTCTCTTCTCAACTCCTTAGGACATCATTTCATCCTGGATGGAGATTTAAACGCCAAAAACCATCAATGGGGTTCTAGAACCACGAACTCTCGTGGCAGAACATTGTTATCTGCACTCAATTCCCAACGTTTCAGTATCCTTCCTCCTAACTCACCTACCTTCTGGCCCACAGATCCTAACCGCAATCCCGATATCCTTGATTTTTTCATCCACAGTGGCTTAGGTTCCCTCAACCATTCCCTTACCTCTCTTGCCGAACTATCCTCAGATCATAGTCTATTATTACTCCAATTATCTCTAGCTCCTATTCCTAAGTCTTCTCCACCGTCCTTCATCAGAGGTCCAGTTAACTGCAAACTCTTTCACCTAATCCTTTCCGATAAAATTGACCTTAGAATGACCCTGAAAACCCCAGATGACTTTGACAATGCCGTACACTTTTTTACCAC